ATATTTCCAGACCTGTGGTAGGATTTATTGAGATGATGTTACAGCGCTGGGGGCAGGGCAAGTAGGAAAGCTTTGGAGGAGCAATCTGAGTGTTATGGGATTGGGTGTTGGGGGCTGGTCCTGCTACCAAAGCGAGAGCATTCCACTATACTCAGCTGCTTCCCCTTGTTCTAGGATGTGAAAAGGCTCTGCAGAGTTTAGTAGGGATAGATGACGGAAAATATTTGGTTTACAGTGAAGAAGGCAGTGATTAACATACTAGTTCAGCATGCTTTTGTTTACTCCACTTTTGTTGTCCTCAAATTTTGAAATCTCAGAGATCTCCTTTGTGTGTGCCTGGTTTGAGGAAGAGAAAGGGAGGTGAGGTGTGCTGTTCTCCTTGTTTTTGTTTTGTTTGCTGTTGGAAAGTGGAAAAATAAGTGCTTGTTGATAGCTATAGCACAGTCCCTTGGGCAGTGAAGGGTATTATTCTATATTAATACTGGCCTTCAGCATTTCCATCTGCTCTCACTTTCCCACAGAAATGTACCTTTGTCTCTTCCCATCCACGCAGCAGTTAAAGATCCTGGAAAAGGAACATTCAAACAGTGGTTGCCACTCTTCTGCCACCAGCTCTGGTAGCTTACTGGAACCGTAGAAAGGCAACAGTATTGCATTTCGTATGTAATGTCAAAAATGCTTCTTTCATTTTATCTCCTTTCTACAACTGACAAACACCTTTTATTTAACATATTTAGATCTTTTCACACTAAGATTATGAAGCCTAATTTGAGCCTGTTAATCTTTTTCCCAGTAACCCACAGAAAAGCACAGCTGCACTACTAAAAACATACTGTTTACCCATGATCTCTGCATCCAGGCAGCCTGCAGCGTTCCAAAGATCAAAGTTTAAAGGAGACGTGCCAGTCCTTCACAATTCCTTTTATTTCATCTCATGAAACCACGTAAGCCACACTTGCAGCTGATAAATACTTCTACTGAGCTTCAGCCTGTGTGTGTTTGTGTGCAGCCCTCTGGTCCTGTAGCTTTAACAGAAAGGTACGTCCTGCAGGTTGATAACCATGAAATAAGGTAGGGTGAATGCAATTTAGTAGTTGTAATGAACAGTCATGTGGTTACTTAGCACTTATTGTTTGTATTAATTTAAAAAGACTGTTAAGGGTTTTCTCTCTTAAAAAAAAAAAACAACAACAAAACCATAAAAAACTAAACTAATATTGTTGCAAGTTACAGTTCCACCCCACTTTCTTTTTTCCTTGCCTATGTGGGAAAACTAGCACATTTGTGTAAAGATAAACTGGGAAGTCAGTGGTTTCCAGCATGTACATTTTGGTTAATATTTATAGAGACTAGTATTTAATGGGCCATATAAATATTTATCATATGCTGCAGCTCTTTGATCATAAACACTTGTTTGAAAAGGCGTTCTGTCCCTGCTGTGATTTGCAAAGAAAGAGACCATTGCTTTTTCAGTGTTAGGAGGGAGATTTGGCTTGTCCTGTGTTAGCAGTTTTAGTCATGGACTGTAACGTAGTAAAGCTGGGAATGTCTTTTTAAATTTGCTATTTTTTTCTCCTCTTTCTGTTTGCAAGCTCAGATAATAACTTGCACATATGAGGCCCCAGTCTGCAGCAGACCAACAAAACTGGATTGAAGTTCTGGGGGCCTTTTTTTCTTGGCCGCAGGAGTTTGCCTGCTATGTCCTACAGCTCACTACTCTGCTGCATTGCATCACATAGTTTGTTGTGTTTTTAGGAATATTGTGCTCAAGGAGTTGACCTGTGACTGTTCACCTGCAGGACTTTGTCTTCAGCTGTTTTTCTGGTTCTTTGTTTTTATTATATTGACTGCAGATACTGTAGGCAAAGGTTCCAATAGATGCAAAATGCAACATGGAGTTTTACTGCAAAACAAAATTTCATTTGCACATGGCAATAAATGTTGGTGTCCAGATTCCAAAACAGGACGTTTGTGCTGGAGACAGAAGAGCTGGAAAGAGCTTCTTCCAGCTCACAGGTCCATTTCTTCATTTGTCTTCAATTTGGAGTCTCCTCCTATACAGAAGGAATATTGAGAATAAGAACATTCATCTTCAAATTCTTAACAAAGTACTTTGGCTAAATATTTTCAGCCAGCCTTATTACTGAGTTCAGAGGTCCTCAAGAAGCACCTCTAGGCAGACTCCCTTGTTGGTGACACTTACGAGCTGGAGATGACAGTGCTTCTTGTGGAATGTGAGTGGCATTCCAGAAAAGCCCTTGGCATCCACTGATGTTTTTGCAAGCAGATCAGATCCTTTTTTAGAGAAGCCATACTTTGAACAGCACTGGCTGCTTGCTGCACTTGAGAAAAGATCAACCTTTAGCCTTTTTCTGCAAGATAGCAAAATATTTCTTTGTAATGCTAGGTGATTTTTTTGCTTAGAGAAATACAATTTTTAATAGGTCTGTTGTATTCACTGTTCAGGTCTGTCACACTTGGTTTCTTGCTCATGTCCATCAATTTACAGAAATAAAATAAGGGATATTTGTAAACTGATAGATGCTGCTTGAGCATGCAGACAAGCTTGGTGTTCTGCACGGTCACTCACATGTGTGCATCCTGGTTGCTTAGTAAGGAAAAAAGAGTAAATATACATGGGCTGATTGGATTCCAGATCTCAAATGTTTGTGGGAAGAATTCAATGCAAAGCTGTAATTATAAGTGCTGAGTAGGAGATACTATGAGCTTAATTCTCTAACATCTGGTAAATTTGTTCTCTAACCAGCAGAATACATTAATAAAATCAGTGCTGCCATACAGGGAGGGGAAGTAGTTGGGAGTAAAGCTGCGTGTGAGAAGGCAGGATACAAAGTGAAGTACTCCTTTTGCTGTTTGTGAAAAGCAAGAAAGATTTGCCTATGTTTAAAAAAATAAAATCCGCTTTGCAACTTGTGGCTTACTCTCTTCTTATGAGTCAGCAGCCAAAGGCAGTGCCAAACTAGGGGAGAACTGGGAAATGCATGAGACAGCAGCAGGGATAGTTTCATGCAATTTCCTCCTTACTGTAAACCTTCTAGCAGGTAGGTAGCAGCACCTGCAGCCAGGCTTTTTCAGCTCTAAAAAGTGATCATCATCTGTTGATAAGAATGTTTTAAAACTCCTTTTACAGCCGAGGGCTGGGAGGAAGATGCAGAGTGCTGTGAGTATCCCAGCTGACAGATGCAGTATTAATCACCGATCGCAGGAGAATTGTCCTCTTTTTGTCGGAGGCATTAGCTTTTGTCAGCCAGACCAGGTCATAGAGCCAGGGCCAAGCAAATAAAGTGAGCTTTCTTGCCAATATCCCTAGGTGTTAGCCTCATGGCACACCATTATTTTTAGCTGATTGCTCATCTCTTGAGCAGATGACCCTGCTTAGCAAGATTAGTGTGTATTGCACCTAATTTACCACGCAGAATCAGGATGCTGAAGGAGAGTGGCTAGGGTTTCTATCAATACCGCAGTGTACCCTCTGGCTTTGGTATCTATATTTTCTAAATCTATTTTTTTGTGGGTTTTTCTTTTTTTTTAAAGCTGATGATGTGTACAACTTGCCCTAGTAACCCTTCCTTTTGCATGCAGAGTGCTGTGTGATAGCTGCTTTAGGGTACAAACATTGGAGTGTTTTCCTTTTCTCCAAGCACCAGCTCAGTTCTGTATGCTTCTGAGTTTTGGTAGGAGATTGATGCAAGCACTGATGTGATGCTTGTGTGACCTATCGAATGCTTTGTATCAGCTCTTAATTAACATTTCCCAGATTGATTAAATGTTAATGTTAACTATTAATTAAGGACAAGCTTAGAAATTAAGTGCAGTGCATTTATCACTATATAAAAATGTCATTTATTTAAATGTGATACAGTGAAGTAAGCAATTCATTGTGAATAATTAAATCAATCGATTTAGGCTCACTTTGTTCTTTTAGGTTGCCAGTAAGCAGGCACACATTTCCTGGGGTGTTCTCATAACTTAATGAAGTAATTTCAGCAAATTATTTTCTAAGTCTTTAAAATCATGTGAATTCCTAGTGGATAGCTCTTAGAAACCTGAGCAGTTTATTTTTCAGTTGTTTTTTTTTCTTTCCTTTGCAAGGCTCAAAGTTGGTTAAGATGTGCCGGATTGTCACTTAGCTATTTGAATTCTCAGCATCACACCACTTTCTGAGGGGAGGACTGCAGAATTCAGCCGGACTCACTGTCTGGTCCAGCAGTGATTTGCCACTCCTTGGCTTGTTGGCTACATGGGAGGCATTGGCTCCTGCCTCCTCATCTTGCTTCAGTTCAGAGCTCAGTGAAGTCAGGCACACAACCCCTTTCACTGCTTCAGGAGCCTAATTTGTTTGCATTGATGCACTGACATGGCCGAGGTGTTACTTCCTGTCTTTTTCACAAGTGAATCCGATTTACTGCTTGTTAGCAGCTTTCCCATCTGCCAGAATTCAGGAAAACCCAGGAGCATCTGGGTTGAACATGTAAGGTATCAGCTCCCAGTTACTGCTGAGTTTGCATCCAGACCTTTTCATTTGCTCCCTGTCTCCTTCCTTTTTTCCTTTATACAGGTATGATAGTGTATGACTACTGCTCAGTTCCTTGTGTGCATGCATGAGCTTTATCAGAGCATGTATGCTCTTACGTGCAAATTCACATTTTGCTTTTCAGGAACTTCTGTGCCATGCAACTTAGATGCAATCAGAATCAGAGAACCTTAGGAGTTGAAAGGGACCTCTGGAGATCATTCAGTCCAACCCCCTTAGGTTCCCTAGAGCCAGTTACAAACATTGGAGATAAAAACAGAAAAACTCGTCCAAGGCCTGAAAACTCAAATTAATTGAAAAATGCTGTGTGAAGACTTGCTGCAAAGAAGTTACCAAACAAGCACTTACACAGCATCTCGTTTCCTGTGCAGCATAACTTTGCTTGTCATTTTGTTTTTTTTTTAAGCTCAATTTGTTTACTTGTTTACTTTATTTTTCCTCACAGGCTGTATTGAAAATGCACAGTGAGAGGCAGACTTCAGTGAAATACTATGTTGGAATTGATGTTGGATCAGCAAGTGTTCGTGCTGCGCTGGTAGATGAGTTTGGGACAGTAATGATGCACGCAGAACAACCAATACAGATCTGGGAACCTCAACCAGACCACTATGAACAATCCTCTGCTGACATATGGGCTGCTTGTTGTGCAGTCACCAAGGTACCTGAAGGAAAAGAAATGAAGGAGATGAGTTTCAAGCAGCGCTTCAAAGTTTGGAAGTTGGAAGTCTTTCAGTCACTGGCCTTTAATATTCAGTTCTGCCATGTTTCTCTACCTTGAACCACCTGCATACATTCAAGGCATCTTTAGGATACGTAGCTTCACAGTGCCTGTTATCCATGTGAGGAGCAGAAGGCCAGAGTGATATAATGGAAAAGAGGAGGAAAGCCTTTCCTTTTTATGTTAGATCTAAAGGACTTTTCCACTGCCTTTGGGATTCGCATCAGGGATTTTTGTTCCACTGCTACATGTTTTAGCCACAGTTTCTCTGAGGAGTTGAGATTGCTCAGAACTGATAATGCATCCCTTTAGAGGTGTGTGTGGTGTTGCACTGCAGACAAAAAGGAGCAGTTATTATAGAAATTCAGTCTGTTTTATGGATGGTGCCTCGTATGTCTATCACCTGTGATCCCCATTAAGACATCTGTCTGGTGTTATAAAACTGAAAGAAATTTTATGTATTTGTAGATAGTATCAAGCTTAAAAATAGACTGAAATAAACCTAATTATAAGGGATCCAAGGATCCACCTGTACATGCTGGTGGTAAATGACTGACCTTGCTTGGCAGACTACATGCAGACTATTTCATCCTCTGTAATAAAGCCACAGCCTGCTCCACGATCTAAGGTTATTTTTTTAAATATTCATGACATGCTTTGTAATTTGCAGATGGGCAGTTTGCTCTTTCTTTTGCTATTGGTCAGCCTTTTCAAACATCAGTGAGCTTGGCTCTGCAGAAATCTTGTGCGATGAAGGAGACAAGTGGTGAGGGGAGGGGAAGGAGAAGAGTAGTGTGACAGGAATGACAGGGAAAGCAGCCTGATATTACAGACAGAGCAAGTTATTTGGCTTTTCTTTGTGAATTGCTTTTTTCTTGATCTTTAAATACAATCTCATATTTAAGCGATTAAAATATGGTCTCTGGAACCTTGGCTTTACAAAGCCAATAAGACACTGGCACTGTTGCAAGTCTAAAGTCTTTCATTATAGTACTAATTAAGATAATGATATTTTTATTGTTGCTGAGAAGTGGCAATTTATTATTGCGTTACATTTTAGATGCCTTGCAACTTTACACAGCACTTGATCCATGTGGGTGTTATATATTTTTCTCCAGTGCTGCTTGAAGCCATGAAGTTCAGATCTTTTGGGGGTGATGAGTTTTTCAGATTATTTTCTGAAAGTAAGCTTTCCAAACTCTTGGTAGCAGAGTTTCTGAAAAGGTTTGCATTACAGTTGTATTAGCACTGCTTTAGGTTTTGACCAACTTGACAGCAATTTATTTTTGGGACCCTTTATTTTGTAACAAAAACGATGGCACAGTATTACCAGAGCAGTTTCATAAGATACTTCACTCGTTTGCCACCTGCAAACTGAATGAAGTGATGGAAATCCATAACCCTAATCCTGTCTCCAGGTTCATATGCAGCAGAACTTTTAGAAAAGAAATAACAGTGCTAGAAAGATTCAAAGCCTGTTAAAGATCTTTTCATATATGTTTGAATACAGTTCTGAAAACCAAATTTTGACTGTTTGCTACATTTTTATTAGCATTCAGATTGAGATATTAAGGAATACTGGATCTCTAGATTTTTGTAGTTTGAGTTTGGATTTCTAACTTGTTTTCTGTGCTCATTAGTTCACATGGTAAGCCATATACATGATTTCTTTGTATTTGTGTATGCTTTATATATTTGCAGAAAGTCATCTGTGATGTTGATGCCAGCCAGATTCGAGGCATTGGATTTGATGCTACGTGCTCCCTTGTTGTCGTGGATAAACAGTTCCAACCTTTGGCAGTCAACTCACAAGGTAGGACAAAAGGGAGATGAATTGCTTTCTGTTTGGCATCCTAACACCAAACTCCTTCATAGTGGATCAGAGGGGCTGCCTCTTCGAGGTCTCTGCTCATTTTCAATTTTTAGATGTTTCATCCTCATTCAGACTTTACTAATCATGGCTTTTCTTGTCTGTGTGAATACCTGCCCACACTGGCTAAAGGAATGCTAGAAATGTAGTATTAGTGTAGCCTGACTGCCTCTTCTGTCATAGAGTTGCAAGCAGGAGGTTGAGCTTGCATATTTTTATTACATTGGTGTTCTGTCTTTGCCTAGGACAGTGCTAAGCCTCTGAAATAGTCTGGTACCTTTTTCTAAAAAGAAAATTAAGTTGTTATTAATTTTTAAGTCAATACTTCAGAAGCCTTCTTTTCCCCTCACACAATCCCATTTATGACTGGGAGGCAGCTAATTCAGTAGTTACATAGCCATAATCACAGTTCTGTTGTTTTACCCTTTCTATTCTCATATTTATTTGTCATCTCCTGTCCTTATTAAAAAAAAAAAAAAAAAAAAAGCAGCTTTGTCCCCAAAATGTCCTTTGCTAAATTTAGGAAAGATTATTTTTCAGTTTGAGAGTCTTTGATCTGTTCAGTATCTGATGATGTCTGGGGCTATTTTGGTCTACTGAGTCAAATTCAGTTCTCACTTTTTGCTGTCCGATATCCTCAAGAACTTGGGCTTTAAACAATGCTATCAAATATAAGAGAAGAACAGACAGAATCTGTCACACTGGGCATGCACTAAGCTCATTGCAGGCAGTTTGGGAGGGCTAAATTGTTTGAGTCCGTATTTAGTGTAGCATTGCTCCTCATAGACCTGACTTGTCTTGGAGTATGTTTTCAAGATTGAAATGCATGAGTGGCTCTTTTGTGGAGTTGAGTATGCACTGTACTCTGCAAGAGAGTGATGTGAAGTGTCACTTGGATTGTTCCTTCACCTGTTTAGTAGGACTTTTGTAGGTTAATTTAACTCAGATGTTTTTTGCTTTTTGTTCTGATGTGTTACACAGACTTGCTGAATGCTTTTGCCTTCCACACCCAAAATAAGCATAGTTTGGTCAACTACAGCCATGCAAGTATTTTTGGAAGAATTTAGGATAGTTTTCTCTATAGAATAGGAAAAAGAATCCCTTATTACTCTTTAATTAATTGACTGGCCAAGTTCATTTCAATTTATAACTTATTTGCTCAGATTTTGTCATATTTTGATGAGTGGGAATTTAAAATGTTTTTTTGTGTTTTAAAATAAATGTGTACCATGTCCAGTAGTTTGGGTTATTTGAATGAAACATACTTTACAAAAGCATAGCTTGTCACAGTTGTTGGACTCTCACAAGCCTGACTAGTTTCAGTCTCAGGGCATTCTCAGCCCTCAGCATGCCTTAAAAGTTGGCTAGAATTTTATCTCTAGCTACCTACTGTGAATTATTAGCACATTTATGTACTAGGGTTTTCCATGTAGAGGTGTAAGCGTGAAGCAGCTTACAGCCTAGTAACGTAGAGTATTGTGGTGGAGTTATACAGGACCTAAACCAATCTCTGTTTTATTTTATTGTCTTTTAAAGGGCAAAACAACAGGAATGTTATTATGTGGATGGACCATCGTGCAGTCAGTCAAGTAGACCGCATCAATGCAACGCAGCACCGGATTTTGAGCTACGTTGGGGGAGTGATGTCTGTGGAAATGCAGCCTCCTAAGTTGTTGTGGATAAAGGAAGTGAGTGCCTCTAAGATTGCAGTGTTTTTAGTAATGATTAATATCATTTTATTTGTAAATGCCTGAGAATGATATTTCAGAAACAAAGTTCTTCGACCTTAGCGCTGAGCTCAGAGGTGTGCAAGGTAAGGCCAGCCTTAAGATGCGATGAAGATGTTTTGAGATTTTTTTTTTACCTCTTGATTATTTAGAGATTAATTTTAGTGAGGTTCAGTTTTTCTCAGATGAAAACTTTTAATATGCTTTTCTTATGTAATTTTAAGACCAGATGTATTGAGTAGTTTCAGTGCAGGTGATGAATGTGTCCTGGAAGTATCCTAGTATTTAGTTATGGAGCTGTACACATACTTAAAGTATTGTAGCTGAACATGCTTAAAAAGGGCTTAGGTTCCACTTCTGGGTTGGTTTTTGTATCAGTGTGAAAGCAGCAGTGTCTCAGCACTGGGCATCCTTGCTGGATGTATTACTGCCTTTGAGACATTGCATCCAACAGTGAGGGAATGTGTGATGCCTTTGGCTGCTCACAGGGCAATCTAGTTTGAGCTTCATCAGCTTTCCAAGAAGGAGCTGAGGAATTTAGTTGCATGTCATCTCTAGGAAGTAGATCATCTGTAGAAGGAAGATGCTCTGTTCAAAATGCGAAACTCTGCTTCTTTCTTGTGTTTTTAACAACTGTCAGAGAAAAGGAAAAACACTCACCACTTCAACTTTTCAAAACCTCCTCTAGTCTGGCTTTTACGTTTGGTGTTGATGCTTGGCCAAATGTAGATTACTTTCTGCCAGATTCAGTGCAGTGCCTTGGGTTGGAAGGGACCTCAAAGATCATTGAGCACCAACCCCATGCTGCAGTCAGGATTGCCACCCGCTGGATGAATCAAAGGAGTTGGCTGCCCACGGCCCCATGCAGCCTGGCCTTGAACACCTCCAGGGATGGAGAATCTGCAACTTCAACCCAACACCTCAACAACCTCTCAGTGAAAAGCTTCTTCCTGACACTTACCCTAAATGTCCCCTGTCATTACCTGACCTTGTGTTTCTGGAAAGAAATTTCTAAGAATTTTCATCTAAACAATTTTAGGTATTCCTAAAGAATATCACTTATCAAATTTACTGTGAACTTCTGGAAGTAATGAAGAGAAAGGAGAAGGGGGAGGTGACCTAACTGTGCTTTCCACTTCTGTCATCTTTTCTTACTAGAATTTATACTGAAGATGACTTCACCGTGATGAGTGAGCTGAATTAATTACACAAGGAGTAGATACTGGTCTTTATTTCTTGTAATTTTCCTGTTATAAATGACTTGTATTTATTTGTGGAAGGATGTTGCAGTTATTCATCCAAATTGTAAGTTATTCTCCTCAGCTTCTTCTAGATTTTCTTTTTCATGTAGTATTTTATCTGTGTGTTTCTTTTGATCGCTTTACATTTTCACTGCGCAGAGATTAGGAAGAACTAGAAAGTAGAGGCTTCAGAGCATATTCTATACATTTAATTATTTCACTCTATCACATTTTGATTTCAAATTAAGAAACCAGACTGTGGAAGACCTAACAAGTTTCTTTGCAATCTTTTGTTTGAATTGTATTAGCTTACATTCAGTTTGAGCACTGATGAATCACTTTATGCCCTGGCATCCAGTGGCTGGTCTGCATGAAATTAATTGGAGGGTCCTGATGTCTGTGACTGAAGATAGGTGTCATATGGCAAAGTCAGCACTGCCTGTGAAGTTTGCTTGTAGGTCATTTTGCAGTAAATGATCAACTGAATGCAGCTGCTGGATAAGCTTCTGGGGCTTTCTTGTCAACATTAGTGGCTCGCTTAGGAGCAGCACTTTGTTTCTTTGCTCCTTGTGTGCTGAGAGGATCCATTTAAATGTTAGATCTGCAGTATATGTAAACCAAAATGAATATCTTTCTTTTAAATCTACTTTCTGTAGGTACAGTCACTTGAATTTGGAATGTTGTCAGCTGAATTAAGAGTGTGGAATGTTGTAGATAAAGTTGGGAAAAAAAAAAATATTATCCTTTCACAAATATTTAGAAACCAGCTGAAAGATAATGCTGACAAAGTCCTCCTGAACTCCATAAGATAAGTAAAAATGTAAACTAAAGTGAAAAAGAAAGTAGTCCTTAGTTACTGAATCTCTCAGAATAACCAGATAATTCTCCTACCTTGCCATAATTTCCTTAGATATCAATTTTTTTTTAGAATTATCTTGCAAGGTCTGTGGTTACTGTTGGTTCTGCTCTAGAATTAATATTAGTGGGTTTTTTTCCCCAAAGGTAGCAGAAGAGAGAATCTTGTTTACTAATTTTTGGCTGGAGATTTGATTGTGGCTTGTGCCAAAACAGGAGGATGCTTGTTACATTTTTGTCATATTAATGGCATTACAAATCAGCTATTTCTAAAAAACATTCATCCCATATGCTGTGGCGTATTCCAGAAGGGTGGAGCGTGCTGAACTGGGAATAGGTATTTGCTTGGTAACTGTCCCCAAATGGAATGCAGTTTTCCTATAGTGTATTTTCACACCTCATATTTAAGTATGGTATCCTCCCTCCAGCAAAAAAAAAAATAATCAGAGTGAATGACTAGCAGAAATTCCTTGCAATTGATAACTAAAATTGATAATTCTCAGTTTATCTTCTTCATATTTCTTATGGCACATTGTCAGTGATCTTTCACTGAGCACATCTTCAGTTACAGCCACATTTTTATGCATCATCGTTCTTTTAGTTTGTTTTTGTACACCCATGACTTGCAGCTTTATCAGCCAAAGGGATAATTTGCAGAAACAATTAAAACATGTATTTTCCTGGCTACGGAGGGGCATTAGCTTGGCAGCAACATATTTGTTGTGTATGTCCTCTTCTTTATTGCATTTGCAGCTGATTTTGTTCTGTCGAACGCAACTGGTAAGATTTTTACCAATAAAAAGCCCTCAACTCCATGTTTAGTGAACAGAATCCAAGCTACTGGGTTTGAAACTGAACTCTTGATAAGGACTGTTTATAAATGCTTGAACAGCTTTTTGCTATCAAAATCCATACATAAGTTAGACATGTTTGCATAGATTGTACTTTGGACTGTTCAGTCGGGCTTTTGGTAGCAGTTACTAATCAAGCAAAATAGCCTTAAAAAAAAAAAAGAGGACTAACATCTGGAATGCTTGAAACACCTGCACCTCTGAGAATCTCTCAACTCTGCTACAATGTGATGATCTTTATGAACATTCCCACAGCTTTTCCTTCATCCCTTTTTACAGCTCCAGTTAACTCAGCCTTTGATAGCGCTGGTCTGTGTTTCTGTCGTGCACGTGGCATTGCCTGACCTGGACTATGATATTTGCCTGACTTTTGGTGCTATCCCGAGGCTGCCTCATGGATTTGGAAACATCTGCAGGTGTCTAAGACAGTGTCTTGTCTGTGGAGACAGTGTGATGCACCAAAGCAGAATTTTCCACCTTTGCCTTATCCTTACAGCTTACTTTCTAAGGTGGCCTCTTAGCCCCAAGAACACGTTTAAGGCCTTAAGATGAATCTGGTGATTCATTTGGTGGGTTGAGCTTTTTTTGGGGGGAGGGAAAGGGGGTGTTGTTTGTTTATGTTGTTTGTTTAGGGTTTTTTTTATCTTTTTTTTTTTTTTGAGTGCAACTTACAGTTGCAAAACTGATCAGTCTGCAGCCCTGGCTCCAGCAATGATTTTAATAGTGCCTACAGTTTATCTTGGATGTCTGAGAAGGGCTCTATTGCATGGCTTGGCATTAGTTCTGAAGTGTGGGAGATGGAAGTTCTAAGTTCTTGCTTTGTCTGAGTCGGAATAGGGTGTGGGACATCAGTTTCTTATGTCCTCGTGAGTGTGTGTATTGTCTTCAGTCTGTTCATGCAGATTGCCTAGGAGATTGGGATTCAAAATTCAGGTTGAGTTGGGAAAAGCAGACTATTATTCAGTGAGTGTGTCTCATTTTCAGATGACTTAGATCTTAACCTGATATGGAACTTGAATGCTCATGCCAACGTTTTTTTTTTTATACTCTAAATGGTAAAACATCTTTCTGATTCCATCTGTCCCTGCTGGTTTTAATCTAGGTTTCTCACACACCAATTTGGGATGGTTTCAGAATGTGTGGGTTTTGACTGATAAGTAGCTATGAAATACAGGCCAATGCCCTGTGCTAAATCGTAAGTTTTACTTCAAGCCCATCTTAAATTAATCCAGTGTCCAACAGAGTTTGGATATAAAAGCTGTCTGTAAAGACATTTAATATTTTCCAATTCACATTTAGTCTGTATTAGCAATTATGAAAGTTAGGCAAGTTTTGGTGTTTGTCTACATATTTTAATTCTGGTGTGGGGGTAAAAGCATTTTCACTACTTTTAGTTGTCTGATGATCACTTAATCTTACAAGAAAATAATATAGCTAGTAAAAGCAGAAGTTTTCAATACAGAAATAAAATACTCAGCAAAGCACTAAGGTACAAATCTGAAAGCTCCTTTCTTGTTCTCAAGGAGAACACTCCTATGTGTTTCTGAAAAATCCTGTTGCATAGAAAAGCTCATGTGAAGTTCTACAAGTGTGTGCATTTCAGCCCAACTCATAGGTGAGCAGTGTGCATAGCATGAAACAAAATTGTGCAGCATGGCTTCATGATAATCTTTTGACTTGGCAGAAATGGCCTCTACCTATTTCTTGACCTCTGTACCAGTTCTCCCCACCTCTCACTTTTATCCTTCTGGTCTAGGAAGACCGAAAGATTCTGTGCTTCATAATTCTTAAACTCATTACCCACAGTTACTTTAAAATCTCCAGATAATTCTGAATAACCGTTGAGAAGTGTTGTATTTTCTCACAACGAAGAGATTGTGGAGATACTCAAGACCCAGCTGGATGCCTACCTGTGCAACCTATTGTAGGGTTACTGCTCTAGCACAGGGTTGGACTCAGTTTCTGGAGGTCCCTTCCAACCTCTGCAATTCTGTGGTTGTTTTCTTTTTAAATGAAAGAAGCATCCATGGGTGCCCCTCAGTTGAAAGGTTGAATGTGTTTCTTTAGCAGTGAGTTTGATGGCTGAGATGCAGGATATGAATACAGTACTGGGAATGTTCCTGGATCTTTTCCATCCTGCTTTTAATGTGGTCACAGATTTGACTACGAGTAAGAATAAATTAAATTAAGTGAGTATCAAAAACATGGAGACTTTTTAAAACTTGTTTGGAAAAAGCATCAGGATATGCTATGGTTTTTTTGTCTTTCTTTACTAATTAGTGATGACAAAGCATTGAGATGGCAAAGAATGAATCATTTGGATGTTCATGAAACAAAATACTTCAATGTCACTAACGTGTGGCTTTTGGGAATTCCCTAAGTAATAGAATAAGGACCCAGTGAGTATCTCTGATAAAGCAGATTTGCTTGAAGGGCACAGTTGTTCTTAATCTAATATCTTTTATGATTAACACTAATAGTAAATCTACTTCTGTTGCTTCTTAAAAACCAATGCAGAATAGTTTGTATGATCGAAATAGGATGAGTGAGCTTTGTACTAAGCTAAGGAGCACCTTTGCATTTCAAATACAAAGTTAAATTGGAAGTAGTAGCCATCTACATCTAGTGTGTAAGCTACACTCAAGTTTGGAACAGGCATGCAAAGCTTGTACATTTTGTTTAAAAGTTGCAGTTGCATCAGTCTTTTTTTAACACAGTAAGCTGTTAAGACTCTTAGTGTTTAATACTTTTCTAAAAATCCTTTGCATCTGCAATCTTGTATAATCTTTTATAATTGCCTTTGCCTGAGCTTATGAAGAGTAGATGAAAATGGTAGGATATGAAATGCAAATACACCGTATGGCAAGCAAATCACCCCTTAGATTTCTTCAATAGAGATGAAGCCCCAAAATAATTTCCCATCTTATTCTGGAGTACCTCCCCAACTCTGTCATAGCCTGCTAGATGCAACCGTTGACCAAATGTGTGTTTTTGGCTGAAACTGTGCCACCTAGCAGGTCTCCATGCCCCAGAGACCCCAGCTAGGATGTACTCTTAGATGAGCCACTGTTTCAGTTATTTAGAAAACCATTGGAGATTTTTAAAGCAATTTGGGAGGGTGAAGCTTCATAGAAAGCTTACAGATTCTTACTTGCTTTGATCAACTGGCCTAATAGATTGCAAAGCTTTGTTCCGTGCTCACAGAGGTATTTGTTTTCTTCCTGCACTTAAAATTTAGAAATAATAAATATAAAATGGTTTATTTTAGAAAGTAAGGCATGGCTTTGAGCAAATGTTTTTAAAGTGAGTTGTCTACTGATTTTGTGCCTGTCTGCTCTGACACTGAGCAGCTGACAGGGAACTGAAAGATCCCACGTTATGGATCTGAACCATGTGTCTCCATTAACTTTCTTGGGAAGCCCTTATGATCAATTTGTGGTGGGGAAAGAACTCAGTTCTTCAGACAGTAAATCACTGCAAAGTGAGCAGTGCAGGAATATGGACAGAGATCAGGGTATTGAATTTGGAAAAATTAAAATTTTCCCCACAGCAGTTCTCTTAATTGCCATTAAAAGGAGGAGGTGATCATGTCTGCCCTCATATCTGTATTTCTCTAATGTTTTTTTGTTAGAACTTACAAGAGTCGTGCTGGGAGAAGGCAGGCTACTTCTTTGATCTCCCGGATTTCTTATCTTGGAAAGCCACAGGTGTCACTGCAAGGTATGTTAATTGTAACAGGATGATTTAGTCATCTGAGTCTATTTTCTTATGTGTGTTTCTGCTCTAATTCATTTTGACTGGACGTGCTGTTACATACATCTGTCTGTAATTCAGTCTGCTCTAAAACATCTTGAACCTATCTCCTGCTTCCATTGTACATTCCTGAACACAGTTCCTGTGAGCAGCGTAATTCACATATACAGTATGTTGCTACAACTGTTAGTCCATTGGTCTTATATTCTATTTAGGAACATAAATATAGTTGCTCTTGTTACTGTGAAATAAGCTTCTAATAGTGCTTTGAAATCTATTTTTGTTGACAAATTTATTGACTTTCTCAGAACTGAAACAAAATGCTTCTTTTGGGTATGGAAGACATCGTATAAAATCTATCTAGGAGTGGTTACTTCGTTGTAAAACACTCACCAAAAGCATCATACAGTGCTTGCTGATAAATTAAACAGCGGTGTTTGAGAGAACTCCATTAAAATCTTGATTCAAGTGACATTAGTACAAGTGAAATACACATGCAGATAAACAAATCCTCCATCTGAGAAGTGAGATACAGTGTCCACTTCAAAAAAAAAAAAAAAAGTCTTATGGCCCAATTCCACACCCAGCTCAGCACAGCTCACAGGTACTTCCATTGGAGTCTCTGGAGTTGTATCTGTGCAAAAATTAGTCCAAAACGAAAGCTGTAAGGAGTTAGTTTTAGTGTTGGGGCAATGGAAAATGCATTCATATCAGATAGATTTCTTTTTGAGCATTCTTTCTCCCTGGCCAGTCTCCCTAATAGGCAGCTATTGTTAAATACATATCTTGCATTATATAAAGATGCTGTTTGACTTTGAATGAAAAAGTGAAGAGAATGGAAGCTAGTAAATTCTTGCACAAAGAACTGAAAGATGGTATTGCAAATATAGTCAGGTTCTACTGTGTTCTGTACAGCTGTCAACTGCATAGCAAAAGAACTCTCACCCAAAAGATCATGCAGTGTAAGCTGACCTGTCAGTTGACTCAAATCAAATTTCAGGAGGATAAATTCCAGGCTCGCTGTTCCCTGCAGGATCTCTGTATTGTACAAATACTCAAGACTTCAGTTTAGAACTGGCACCTTCTGCTCAGGGACTAAGTAGAGAAAGGTAATGGCCTTTTTTTTCCCCAAGCAACTTGAGTGCATCATAGTATCATAGAATAGCCTGAGTTGAAAAGGACCATAATGATCAATATCATATATATCAAGTGCTACTTAAACTTAGGTACAGCTGTGGGGAGAAAACTGGCTTCCTCTCTTAAGAGAGCCTTTTTGAGGCAGTTGAAAAGATATGACCTGGGAAACAGATGTGTCTAAATGTCACATGTATATGGGTACAGATTCTTTAAATTTGTCCTCTGATAAGTTTAATAGGACATAGGAAACACTTTTATTTGCCCTTATATGTTGGAACATCTCTGTATCACACATGGTGAGATGCTGATAGAAAGTTTGTACTAAGTGCAGAATTTGGCTTTGTGATCCTAGGATGGCTGATAGATGGTGTGAGAAGTGCGGGCAAATAATAAAAGGATCACCTTGTGCCGCTGGCTGAAGAAGCTAAAACAGAATATGATCCAAGTGAGGTTGGACTTCGAATATTATTTGGAATGTGCTTTTAAAGAGAGGGAGATAGTTCCAGAGAGAGTGGTGATGTACATGGAACAGAATTCTTATCTTGTTTGAGCAAAGGGATCTCTAGCATTGATGAAGAGGGTTCCTGCTCTTCCTCTCTGTCCCATAGCATCTTCTGTCCCTCTTGTTTTTAATAGAGGCAGCTGTACTGTATGAAAGAAATCCCTTTCTCCAACCTGTTTCCTAACTTCCAGCATAGTTTAGTCTATGTGAGGTGATGGAGGGCACCTTCCTGCAGACTTTAAAATATAACTGTTGTTATTACCAATTTAGCAGTTGGAAAAAGATCATACTATTTTGGATAAAGTACTTCCCTGTATATCATCCTTTGCTGCCTTAATGTGCACTTCCCCAAATTAAACTGATCATTTCAGCTCTACTGGAATGTCTTAGGTGATAATAAAAGGGAAACAAATAGGAAAATAGGACAAGAATTTTTTTCTTGGAATCAAACCTTAATTTTTTTCCCCCATCCTCTACTTCCCCCTGTGCACACTTCTTTCTGAAGATTTGCCATGTAGTTTGAAGTGAAGTATTTCATCCTGCATATCATCTTTCATAATACTGTGGAAGTGGAATTTTATCACGTGTAAGATTTTTACCACCTTTTCCCTTGAGCACAAAGGAGCCTATTCACAGGGCAAGGCACCGTGTTAAGTCATTGTGAATCACACATTATTTGACCCTGGTAGAGGACAGATTTTATTTTTATTATTTTTTTTTTAATCTGTTTTGGTGGTGGTAAAATCAAGTAATTCCAGGGACATTTCTGTAAGAAGGATCTTTGCATGTGTTGAAATTCCTACTCTTGCTTCCTTACGTTTTTAAGTGGCTCCTTAAAACATTTTGTGTGTATTTAACATTTAAAAACATTGTGTGGTCTTTTTGGCTTCGGAGAGATTACTCAGTGCACAAAGTTAAGCAGCGTGTGATTGGGCTTTGAAGTATCTGAAAGCAGCTATTGGTTCATGTTTCTGAGTATGAAATCATTTGTCTTTCACCTGCAAACAATTCTGCTGGCCAGAAGTGCCTTGTTGCCAAGGGAAGTTTTTTTCCAGTGGATATATAATAAGCAAAAAGTTCAGGTAAGAATACCTGAGGGGTGGGGACTTAAACATACTCTGAGACTTTGACCTACTCCCTTTAGAAGTGCTGTCTGTGTATCTCAGTGAACAGCATCTGCCTATGAACTTCAAAGAATGAGTTTCAAATCATTGATTCCCACTGTTCTTAAAAGATTGTTGCCTGTAATATTCCCTATTAAAAGAGTTCAATTCTTAGTATTTCTCATTTGGGTTAATGTACGATCATGCAGATGTTTTGAATGATCCAGAAGCCGACTCTTCTGCATTAAAAAGCTTTCCTGGCAGATCCCTGGTTAAAAGCTTGAAAACTTTGCAACTTTCCTACTCCTGACCCAAGGTTACATCAAGGAACATTGGTTTGGCCCCTAGGATAGTCAGGTATTATTGCAGAAGTGCTGCTGTGGGGAGAAAGCTGTTTTTTCAGGCATACTAGCAGTGCTTTCATAGGCTCAGCGCTTTTCCTCATGGTGAGTGTGACTCACTGCTATCTTCCACCCACCATCTACAACCTCTGATCACTTTTTCTTTATATGGTGCTTTTGAAGTTATCTTAAAATCAAAATAAATATCTGACTGACTTAGAGATAACTGTATTATGGACAGAGTATTTTTATCAGAGTTGCACTTCTGTAATCCTGTCTCTTTTCTGATGTCTCGTGAAGAATTAGATTGCAGACAGGAAGATGGCTAAGCTGTGGTATCAGGTAGAATTCACACACGTTTCTGAAGTCATGTGTACTTAGATCCAGTGTTTCTGCTTCATAGCCCTTCCAGCTCACTGCCTGGAAATAGAGATGGTCTCTGCTGGATTTACGTGGTGTAACATGATTGGTAATCAAAGAGAGTGAACCTGTGGAGGAGGACTTGGAAATGCAGGGAAGAATGTCAGGCTTGACAGTAACTGAGGTGGAGAGTGTCCAGCATTGTGCTATAAGCCACTGGTTGAAGATGAATAATTCAGTATCTTAAAAGAAAATGCTGGCAAATCATTCATAAAGATTCAAGAAGTGCCAGAATGAGTGAAGAAACAGAGACATAGGATTCTTTTAAAGTAGCTCCCAAAATTGCGGAAAAAAGTTGGAACAAAGCGAGTTTTTGTACAAAAACTATTTTTTTGTGTGTGTTCTCACACTGCAAATGTATTAATAGCTGGGGAAAGTAACTTTTTATCTAGTAGAGATGTCATCTCACACATGAGTGGTGACCCAAGTAATTTTCCTGTGGAAATACTTGTCTAGTCAGCCTTAAATTGCTAGCTTTCATGTCAGGGAAAATGATATGACATGTTTTGTTGGGGAGTCTTTTGTAAACTATCTACATCCAACACACATCTCAGAATCATGAGTTTGTTCAGAGAAAGTCAGTTTTATAAGAAAGATGTTCTTAGTGTTATGTTAATTACAGGCTGTAAGCTGAAATACAAATGGATATGGTTCTTAAAGATTTCTAGGAACCACGTAGCTAACTAGTATTATGCCATGAATGTTTGTGAGAAAGGGGTGTATATTCTTTTAATATTCAGTATGTTTGAATCTGGGAATCCAGGCTTAAGTCTTTTATCTCCCCTCTTTGCTTTGGATAAGTAAATTAAATCTACATTTATGGAGGTGTTCAGGCTGCTGAATACCTTTTGAGGATTTGATTCTTTTTCATTCTTACGCTTGCTCTTCATCTGTGAAGCTGACACACAGTGATAGTAGGTCAATGCCCCATCCGTGGAGGTGCCCAAGGCCAGGCAGGATGGGCCCTTGAGCAGCCCGCTGATCTGCTGGGAGGCAGCCAGCCCACTACAGGGTTTGGAGCTGAATGACCTTTAAGGTATCTTCCAACCTAGGCCATTCTATGATTCTGTGAGGTTACTTTCTTTTCCCTTTGATTAGTATTTCTTTTCCCTCTACGATTAGTAGAGTCCTTACCAAACTTTTTCTCCAGATAGGCTAAAAACTTTGAAAGTGGAAAAGCTTGGAAGAGAAGGGGATGTTTAGAGGTACTGTAGAAGAAACAGACTGCTGTAAGTTGGATGGTTATCTGAAGGATGTCTGTGCCTTTTAAAGGATTGAGCAATAAGTAAGAAAGATGTGGTAACTGGAGCAGCACAGACACCAGATTCTGCCCTTCCCTTCCTTCCTAGCTGTGCCATGACTAATGTATACCTTTTGGCTGGGATTCTGGTGTTTGCCTTCTTGTTTATATTTTGTGCCTACTTAGAGATGCCTGGTCAAAAAATTAAAACCCCTCTCTGTGAA